ACACACACACACACACACACACACACACACACACACATCAGATCTACAGTCCATCCACTTCACCAGTTTTAATATCACATTTATATAAACATCTACATATTAAAAGGCTCATTACGCCACCTAGTGTTTCAAACCTGTAATTCTCCAGATTTAATACCTGCAAATATTCCTCAAACTCTTCCCTCTTCGTCGTCAGGAATTCACAGTTCTTAGGTCCGATGATCCGTTTGGACGGAAGCTGTGCGTTTGCAAATGTTCCTGAAATAAAAGAAGACATTAGCTCTGAGAGGATTCAAACACAAACCTGAACGAGTGACGAACAACTGAACGTGTAACAGAAGAGTTCACCGTGGAATTCAGTCAGTTTGGATTCCAGGACGTAAAACTCCAGATATCTCCTGAAGACCGACCACTTCTCCGTTTCATGACCGACTGGAAAAGAAGAGAAGAAGACAATCACACCAGGGATCTGACGGGAGATTTAAAACGACGCTGCTGAGACTCGCTCGCTCGCTCGCCTGTCTTTCTGTCGTTGCGCTCCACGTCGATGCAGAACACGGGGATCCGCTCCCTCTTCACCTCGTCGTCGTAGCTGTCGATGTAGGGGATGGTGATGCTCCACGCCATCAGGTTCCTCAGGGCGCCCGCCGCGCTGGCCGGCTGGGCGGGGGAGTCGTCCTCCATCACGATAGTCGCCTCCTCCACCTGCACAAAATAAAATTAAAAAAAGATTCATCAACAACCTGAGGTGACACTCGGACTGAGAACACGCCCACATCAGACGGTACAGGTAGACGACGCCCACAGAGGTGATGACGACAGGACGTACGTATGTCAACAGAACCGTGTTAAAACTGTGACGCTCACCAAGTCGTCGTCCATGTCGCTCATGGCGCCGGGCGGCAGCATGGCGCCCTCCATGGTCGTGCTCCTGAACACACCTTTGATCTTGCTGCCGATTCTGCTGATGCCGAACGTCTCCCCTCGTTTTGACGGGTTCCTGCAGAGGAACAGAGAACGTGGTAGAAGTTCTGTGAACCGAAGTTCAGTTTCACTCTGACGTGTTCGAGCAGAGAAGAAGAATCCATCGAAGGAATCAGTGAAAATAACAAAGAGTGGATCTGATGGAAGCTCAGGATCAGATTTTCTGAGGATCCTCTGAACGAACATCAACAGCTTTGATTCAAGAAAGTTTCTCTAACTCACTTCAGAGTGAAACATCTTCACGTCTGTTTCAGTAAAACTCTTTCTTTCTATCAGACGAGGTGATATTAGGTCTTAGTCTTTTAAATATATATGTATGTGTGTATATATACACACACATACACAGAACGTCTGAATTATTCGATTAGATGGATAAAATGATTTCTTTCATTATAAATGATTCTTGAATCAATAATCCACAAACCTGTTGATTCTGGAGTTCCTGGTCAGAGACTCCGCCCCTCTCAGCAGGTGCCTGAAGTACTGAACCGAGACGACAAGTTACAAACCACCGACACAAACAAATCTGATTCTGAACTTTAATTCACAGTGTGAAACCGACTGTCTGGATAAAAGTTCAAATATATTTGAATTGAATCTGACGATTATTTTAAAACGGAGAACTGTGGGTGTGAGCTCTTACTTCGTCGCTGTGACAGAACATGGGCGTGAACACTCTCTCCAGCAGAGACAGGACGTGCTCGTACGCCTCGAACAGGCAGCGCATGGTCTGCAGCTTCACCACGCCGCTGTACGGACCTGTGGCAACTGAGAGAGAGAGCAGGGTTAAACCTCCTCACTGTGACTGAACACGGACGACTGAAGAGACTCTGTGTCTGCGAGAGGACGGCGGCTGAAGGACGAGGTGTCTCACTGTTCTTTATCTCCTCCACGATGAACGGGTCGAAACTGATCTTGTCGATGCTCTCGTCCAGGCAGTACGTCTCGTAGATGTGCAGCACCTCGCCGTGGAGACGCTGCAGCTCCGAGTCGCTCAGCTCCGGACTCAGGATCTTATCGTTGAACTCCTCTGGAGGAGACGTCAGGACATCGTGAGTTCTGAGACAGAGATGTTGACTGTGTGTGTGTGTGTGTGTGTGTG